TTTTTATTAGATTTCTTTGTTATATTAATTACACAGGAAGGATGTTCATTAATAGATACTTGTCATGTATTTATAATTGATTATTATATATACTCATTATTTGTGTTAATTATATGCTAAATTGCCCAACATTCAAGCTCTTGCAGATGTAATGGTAATGCTCAGTATGAGGCCAGCTGAAGTAACAACTCCGAATTTTTTATCTTTCAAAGAAAGTGCATGAGATGCATTACAAACCACCAAATGATGATGCAATGCATCAAGGAAGCAAAGCTTCGAGTCAAGGACTCATCTCTGATTCTCTTCCAAAATGGTGGGTTCCTGGATGTAATTGGTATGCAACCAGTTATGCTAAAAATCATAAAAACCATCCTCGGAAATTTCTTTCGATGGAAAAAAATCCAGAACATGCTTGCCAGTTACTTATCTGGATCCAAATTGCAATAAAAAATGGTCATTTACATGACCCTGGTATTGTAGGTGTTAAATGGTTAAATAAATTTCTGAAAAAATATAATCTTAAGCCAGGTGATTTATGAAAAATTGGTGCAGATCATGCTTGCATAGTACATGAAGGATGCAATGACGCTGACAGATTAAATATCTGAATCAGAGCATTGAGACAATCTCCAGATGGACCGCATTCCTCTGCAGAACATTAAGCTATAATAAATGACAGGTGAAAAATTCTTCCTTCTGGGCCAAAAGATAAAGTTGATCATATCCCTTACAAGGATTTGATTGAAAAACATGATTAGACTATTAGTATCAGTGCCAGTGTCAGTGGAATACCTTCAAATCTTTGCTTGAGGTGTGCTAGAACTCACCTTGAAAGTTCGTGAGTTTTTTGCCTTTATAATTATATTCATAGCGGAACAAATATTTTTTCCTGATTTGCAATTAATCTTTGAAATAGCTGTTGGTCTTGTCTTCAGCTGTAATGGGAAGGCGAATTTCTTCAGGGCTAAATTCTATATACTTGGAAATCTATTCACATAGTTTGTGAGACATTTTGATTGTTTGTATATATTTTTTCGGAATGAGATTTTTCTTTTTAGATAAATATAAATACTTCTGCATCTAAAGTTATCCATATGCAATAAGGGCTAAAGAATGCTCTTTTAGTTCATTTTTGTGTGGTTTAGTAGGAAGACCCGTCTTAGCCTCAAATTTTTGCTTGTATTCTAAGAAATCAGCCTCACACATACTCTCACGTTCTTTCAAAATAATATACTTATTGAAAAGCAGGTCACTTCATGTCTGGATAGGCCTGGCTAAAAATTTGTATGAATTGAGTATGGTTTTTTCCCATTCTTCCATAAGATTATCAAGCCATGTAGTATTTGAACCACTCTTTAGAATATTGTGACTTAATAATTCTTCACCTATCAGCCTATCCTGATCAGTTAAAAATTTATGATATTTTCTAGGATCTTCCTTTCTCTAATGCACCTTGATAAAAGTGTATATCTCTTTCCAAGTCATTATGGAAGCATTCCATGGCCCACCTATTTTTCTCAGCCTCAGTAATGATTGAAAATTTCTCAGGATCCTCTCCATGTTCAATGGCATATTTATAAAGACATTCCATTTTATTTGGATTAGTCCTAGAAATTGGGGAGTTATGGGAATTTATCCAGGGATCAAGCCCAGTTTCTTTCTTATATCTTTTATATAACTTGGAACGAATTTTATCTGTTAAAATACTTGGTAAACCAGTTAATTTGGCATACCAATTCAGATATTCAGAGGTTAATATTTTATCAGAATTGGTCTGTGTATTATTCATATTGCTGTTTTAAATAATTCCAAATCAATTTAATTCACAATAGCCAACAAAAATAAAATATTGAGCAAATTTGTTTCAGTATTATATAGTTCTGCTTCTTATTAGGAGGCAATGACAAGGTATAAGAAAATGGAGTTTATACAGTTATTTCAATTTCACGTTGCTTGCATTTAATATAATAGGACCCAGTTTCATATCTGCCTTCATCCTCATGATTTAATTTGCATAATGGACATAATGTCTCAGCAGCAATTCCGTGATAATCAACATTTTCACTACTGAATTCATAATATAGGTCAGGATATTGCTCCAATATTTTGTTGTGAAAATAGGTGCAGTCATTCTTTGGGTCCTTGGGTTTTGAGATAAGTGGTATACCAACATTAGCTTTTGTATCTGAAGATGATGAATCAGAGACTCGAAACTTTGCTTCCTCACTTACTTTGGTTTCTGCCAAATCATTTGAACCAAAAGGTTTGGTTTGATCCTGACCAATGGTCAGGATATCATGTGATTTTTCTGTAACCTGTTATAGATCTTGAAATTCCATAAGCTTTGTCTATACCAATCCCCTTAATTTCTTTCTTGGTTATAGGATCAATAATTTTTCCAAACAGTTTATAAATAGTTCCAGCTCTTTGTGTCTTTTTGTATAGATTCACATCTGAAACTTTGGGTAAAGAAGCTTTAATCATAATATAAACTTGAGTCTTTGCAGTTTTCTCAGCAACCCCAGTTTTGGATTGAATTTCAGCAACACTGTTTTGGTATGCTTCTCTATAAGTATACCAGCATATGATTTATTTTTGCTTGGCCTCTACCATTCTACCTTCCACAATTTCAGCATCAGAAAATAATTGAGCTAGCTCTCATCCACCTTTATCATTGCCTATATTCATGTCACTCTCTTGAGTTTTAAGGTTGTTAATTGGTGAGGTAAGCACTCCTTTTTGAATAAATAGAATCGCTTCTTGAATTAAACCTTGCTCTATTCTCTGATTATATGGTATTTTTATTTCAGAAGAGATGGCACTTTGTGACTTATTAATAGGCGCTTCTGAAATACTTTGATTCTCATTCCAATGGATAGGTGTTTGTTCTGATTCAATGAAGGAAGTATCCCGAGAAGTTGTGAGAGCCACTTGATCTTGAAGTTTCTTTCCCTGTTTCTATCTCTCATCATAATACTAACACTTTTTTTATGTTCTGATTCCAGGAATTCATCAACCTCTTTATCTTCTAATGATTTAAACTCTGTGCAAATAGGTTGACATACATCAGAATTAGACGTGTTATCAAATGTATTTTCTACCTGCTCGTGAGAATTTATTTCAGGAGAAATGGCACTTTGTGTCTGCTCTAAATTCACAGAGTCAATTCTACTATCCTCATCAGTGTGTCTCTTGATAGGTGGTAGAATTGGTGTTTGTGAAGAGTTATTAGCAGTTTGATTTAACTTTATGGTTTGTTTTAGTCTTGTATTTACGATCCTAAGATTAGCAATTTCTTCTATGATCTGTTTTAATTTAGTATTTTCAGCCTCAAGTCTAGCAACTTGCTGTTTCAATAAATCAAGCTCTGATGACATGTTCGATAATATTTTTTTATATAAGCTGCAGATTTATTCAAATTTCGAATTAATGCAAAGATCACTTTGCTAGGAAAAAAAAATTGAATGCATCTCATACTTTGATATAATACTTCATTATACATAAGATATTAATATGTCTCACAAATCTAAGAATAACAGACGCAAAACTCAAGGTAGATTTACTACAAATTTTACAATTTCAAAACCGGGATAAATATGATCACATTATTCATGAGTAGAGATGTGACATGCGCATGAAAAAAAATGCAATGCACATGATTTTTTTTCAAATCATGCAATGTCACATAGACAATTCTATCCAATTATATATAATTGAACAAATTTTCAAAA